CGAGCCGTGGGGGGCCCGGCTTGGGAAGGGTCAGCCCGCCCGGCCCTGGGCTCGGACCTGCCGGCTCGTCGCCCATGGGGCCCGCTTACCGGTCAGCGCCGCCGGGTCCCGGGCACAGCCTGGTAGGAGAGGGAACCCCCATGGGGTTTTCCGGGCGCCTCCCCGCTGGGCGGTGCCGGGCGCTGTCTCCACCTTCTGGCCCTGCCGACACTCAGTAGGCCTGCAACTAAGCATGCAATGAAGGCCCTTGAGCGCGCGAATGCAGAACACCTGGGCGAAACGAGCAGCGCCCCGCTCATGCCCCGAGGGCCCTGCCTCTCACGTCGGTGCAGCAGCATCACTCGCCCTCCCCGGCCACCGGTGCAGCTGGGCCAGATGCCCTGGCGGCCACCGTGCCGCTGGCCTGGATGCCCTGGCGGCCACCGTGCAGCTGGGCCGGATGCCCTGGCGGCCACCGTGCAGCTGGGCCGGATGCCCTGGCGGCCACCGTGCAGCTGGGCCGGATGCCCTGGCGGCCACCGTGCAGCTGGGCCGGATGCCCTGGCGGCCACCGTGCAGCTGGGCCGGATGCCCTGGCGGCCACCGTGCAGCTGGGCCGGATGCCCTGGCGGCCACCGTGCAGCTGGGCCGGATGCCCTGGCGGCCACCGTGCAGCTGGGCCGGATGCCCTGGCGGCCACCGTGCAGCTGGGCCGGATGCCCTGGCGGCCACCGTGCAGCTGGGCCGGATGCCCTGGCGGCCACCGTGCAGCTGGGCCGGATGCCCTGGCGGCCACCGTGCAGCTGGGCCGGATGCCCTGGCGGCCACCGTGCAGCTGGGCCGGATGCCCTGGCGGCCACCGTGCAGCTGGGCCGGATGCCCTGGCGGCCACCGTGCAGCTGGGCCGGATGCCCTGGCGGCCACCGTGCAGCTGGGCCGGATGCCCTGGCGGCCACCGTGCAGCTGGGCCGGATGCCCTGGCGGCCACCGTGCAGCTGGCCTGGATGCCCGGGCGGCCACCGTGCAGCTGGGCCGGATGCCCGGGCGGCCACCGTGCAGCTGGCCTGGATGCCCTGGCGGCCACTGTGCAGCTGGGCCGGATGCCCTGGTGGCCACCGTGCAGCTGGGCCGGATGCCCTGGCGAGGGGAACAGGGCAGGGAGGGGGCTCCAGCCAGGGGCTGCCCCAGGGATGGCTGTCCCTACCTGTGGGTGGGGGGAGCTGAGGAAGTCAGCTTCCCTGCTCCCTGTCCTGGAGAGATTAAGAGACCCCCCCCCAGAATCCCCTCCCTCCTCCTCTGCTGGGCTGGGACGGCCCGCTCGTGGCTGTCCTCATGGGAGGCCTGAAGGGCCTGACTCGACCTTCGCCACAGCAGGTTTTATTAGCGCAAAGTTCGAGTTATCAATTGCCCTGAACTTTTATTACTTCTCAGGGGCTTTATCTCGGTGGCCGCCTGGCCTCCGGCTAAATGGGGATTAATATTTTAACAGGATTACGTGCTGTGGGTCACCGTGCCCTCCGGGGACTCCCGGCCCTCTCCTTCTGAATAGCCTGTCCCCTCCCTCAGCCTTCCCCGCGGTGCNGGACCTGGGCTCTGGGTGGTGGGGATGGTTTGTTTCGAAGAGCAGGTGTGTCCTAGGGTAGGGGCAGCCCTGCGGGGTGAGGTCCCTGTGGATACTGCGGACTGTTTCCTGGGGTCAGCGGGCTTGACTACCACTGGGGAGAAAGGAGGAAGGTGGAGCCAGAACGGGGGGCGATAGAGAGAGGGAAGAGAGATGGGGGGAGAGAGGGGGAGAGGGGACAGGAGGGGCTGCTTTTGGGAGGCTGCCTTGGCCCGGCCCCCCAGCCCCTGAGTGCCACAGCCTCTAAATCTGCCAGCATCACATCTTGATCTCTCACCTAGAAAAATATTTCTGTTGCTACCAAAGTTTTATGAAAGCAGCTTGTTCCTGTCCCTGTCCCACTGCATCATGTAGAAGATCAAGCCCGGGTTTCGGGGGCCTCCAGCACCTGTGTGCCCCTGCCCCTGCCCATCCACAGAGGGGAGAGAGGGCCTCCTTTCTGTGCAGGGCCAGCCCCTCACCCCACCCCCACCCGAGGAGCCGGTCCCCACTGTTCCATTTCTTCTGTTGGACCACTTGTCACCTTCTCTGCCTCCCTCACCCCCCCGGGGGGGGGCCCTGAAAGGACACGGCTATACTGAAGCCCTGTGTGCGGAAAGAGGAGTGAATGAATGAGGGGGGGGAGGGAGGCAGGTGGGCTCCCTGAATGAGGGGCCAGGGCCTCGGTGACAGTGGGGGTAGAGGGGAGTGAGGAGAGGCCCTGTAAGTGTGTGCCTGGGTTGCACGGGTGTGTGCCTGGGTGTATAATCGCGTGTGCACAGGTGTGTGCTTGGGTTGTGCTGGCGTGTGCACACCTGGGGCAGTGTCCTGAGCCTGCTGTAAGGAATCGCCGCAGACTGAGGGCCTCAGCAGCAGGCACTCTCACAGTCCTGGAGAGCAGAGCCTGGGTCGTCCTCACCACCCGCCGGGTCCTCCAGGGGCACTCGGAGCTCAGGCCTGGAACCTTCCAGAAGGGTTTTCCCTGCGTGTGTTGGGGTAAATGAGCCGCTGAGCTCTGATGGGCAGGAGAGAGGGGGCTGCCGCTGTCCAGGGTCCGGGCCACAGGGCAGTGCCTGGGGTCTGTCTTCGTTCTTTCCACTGACCGCTCAATGGGGTGGGGACAGCAGCTCTAGGAGGTAC